TGATTATAGATTTTTCTGCACCAAAATCTTTTTATTGGTTTAATAAAATAATAAATGCTTTTCCACAATTAAAACACGTACAGAAACAAAGTGGGAACCTACTGATTTTATGTTAAAAACAAGAAAAAATTTAAAAACTAAAATTTCTTTATCGACTTTGTCGTCAGGTCAAAAAAAATAATTGTTTAATATAAAAGTTCTGCTGTTTGTACGTACAAAATAAGATAGGTTCCGACTAGAAATTGAATGAAGAAGTATTAGTATATTTTTAGATATAAGTTTAAAAGCCTAATAAATAAGAAAACGGTGCAGAAAATTTTCATGCATATGTGTTGTATACGTGCATATGTTTAGATATGTGTGGTGCTAACCTATCATGTGTATATGTGTATACGTGCATATGTTTAGATATGTGTGGTGCTAACCCGTCGGAGTTCGGCCAACGCTCCGGCATCCCCTTAAGCTTCGCTTTAATAAATCAGACCCAGTGAGAAATGATTGGTCAAATCGTCATCGATTCGACATCGATTCGACGAATTTGACATCGATTCGACAACGAATTGACGTCGATTCAACCATCATTTCTCACTGGGGAGGGCTGTGTGAAGTTGCCCCCCCCCTCTTCTATTGAGAATCCAAAAATAACCATGATAATTCGTTTGTTGATCTTTTGATGGTGTTTGGTAGTACATTCCAGATTTCCGATTGAGAGTCAAAGCTGTAATTAATAATTTTAAAAACCGAAATAGCGCGTAAAGTTAGTCCCCTTTTATAAAACTCGACTTTCCAGATTGCATGTAGCATTCTAACTGTAAGCATCCGTTTGGTGGTCGCGTACTGAAATTTAGTACTCCATTTTTAATGATTGCCCTTTTAGAAATTTTTTTTCACTAGTAACGCCAATTTATCACTTATTTCGAGTACTTAATCACTTATTTCGAGTACTTAAATTACTGTATATCAGTTTTAAGTACTTGAAATAAGTGATTAATTAGCGTTACTAGTGATAAATTTCTACAAGGATGGTAATTCTTGTGGACACTTATTTCGAGTACTTAATCACTTATTTCGAGTACTTAAATTACTGTATATCAGTATTTTAAGTATTTGAAATAAGTGATTAATTAGCGTTACTAGTGATAAATTTCTACAAGGATGGTAATTCAAATTATAATTAATAATACTAAAAAGAGATTTACGCGCGCGCAAAGATAGTTCCTCTTTTTTTGAAATTCGGCTTTCCAGATTGCATATAGCATTATAACCATCAACATTCGTTTGGTGATTGCGTATGACGTTTGGTAATCCATTTTTAATGATTGGTAATTAAAATTATAATTAATAATACGAAAAAATAGATGCGCGTTTTATAAAAGGGGAGCTAACTTCACGCGCGTCTCTTTTCGTATTATTAATTATAATTTTAATTATCAGTTATTAAAAAAGACTACCAAACGTCAGTACGCGATTACCAAACGAATGCTTACAGTTAGAATGCTACACGCAGTCTGGAAAGTCGAGTTTTATTAATTACAGCTTTGACTACCAATCATCCGGAATGTACTACACCATCAAACGACCACCAAACGAATTATCATGGTTATTTTTGGATTCTCAATAGTGGGGGGGGGGGGCCAACTTCACACAACCAAATCAGTGCACAGATACAAGAGTAAAGGACGTAAAATATGCAGTAGGAATGATTGTAGGACATAGAACAGATAGTATACATGAATAAGATTGGAGTAATACTTGCGTGGCACCGACACGCCAATGAAAAAATATTCGCCTATTACGATAAACATATGAAGTTTAAACCTATATGTGCATTGTAGTTCTATAACCATTATTGCCCTACGTACAGCAGTAGACAAATAAATTATGTGATTCTGACCAAACATATTCTCTTAGAACATTATGTCATGATAAAAATGAAATAAAAAATTGCTATTAAGGTATTTAATAAATGTTTAATAAAAAAATGATATACATCGTAAACTTTTTTCACTATTTTATTACTTACAATGAGTTAATTTTTGTTTGTGTAACTTTTATCTTAACTAAATTAATTTTACAAGCAACTAACTTTAACTTAACTTAGTTTTAAAAAATTATTAACTTATCTAATCCTGAATATTTAATATAATAATATAATAAGCACTAAAATCGAAAATGTGAAATGTAAACAATTACTAATTTATCTTTTTTTTCTTTAATTATATTCAATATACATATATTTTTTAAAAATGTATTTGCATTACATTATCTAGTTATTTAGTCCACATTTCTATTTTTATTTAATATACATTATTTGTTCTTATTTAGTCCACGTTATTGCTCAAATAATAACTGGATGTGACATGATATAAGATTATTGTATCAATTACAATGTCGTAATATATAAATGATAGAGTGCTCACATTGAACACTTATTTCTGTATAAAGCTATAACTTATTGTTGGTATAAAAGAAAGTCATAATATATTTATTCTTGCAACATTTTTTATATTAAAGCTTGATTGCTGTAATAAAAATCTACAATAATTGCAAAAAAATATGTACTATATGCTACAATCTTATTGTAAAAATGAACGTGTTTCCATTTAAAAAATCAAAGATCAATTTCAAATCTCCGTCATCTAAAAAAATTTTATTTTATCCGTTTTATGTCACTCTTAAAATTATACTTTAATTTAACTCATCATTTTCTTTACAGAAGTAATATTGACATAAATCAAAGTGATATTCTAAGTACTTCATCTTACATATATGAGGTGTCTTAAAATTTGCAACTTAAAATATTCAGCAGGAAAATACTTGAAAAATTGAATAGTAAAAGTATGCGATTTTTATCTTTGTATATTATTTTTAAAAAATATGTTATTTTAAAAAATTAGAAAATTATATTATTTTAAAAAATATAAATTTTAACAAGAAAATAAAATGAAGTATTTTTGCCAATGTTTCATAACAACTTACAATTCATTTTTCATTCATTTTCTTTTAGAAATTGATATGCATTATAAATTATAAATATAAAATATATGTTTTGTAATAAATTATAACTTTATAAATTATTTTTAATTATTTTAATTATCTTCTTCAAACACTCTATTATTGAAGAAAATCATATTATTCATTAAAGAAAAATGATCGTATTGGCTCGATTTTAATGTAGTTTTATCATTTTATTGTGTAATATCTTGAATCATTCAACCTTATTAAAAGCTGTTTATATTCTTTCTGCTTAATGAAGCAAAACATTAGAAATAATCGGAAATCGTTGAACATTCTGATTGAGGAAAAATGAAGGCATTCACATTTGCGATATAGTATGATATAGGTATCTTAATTAGAGTTTTAATCGCAGCGATTAACATAATATTCGATTTTCATCAAAATATATTTTAAACTTTTCAGTATATAATATATCCCGTTTTATATTATAAAAGTTCTGAAATAATTTTTCAGAATATCTTTTTGATCTTGTAATAAAAATATTAACTTGATGAAAAAGATAATTAAATATATAAAATTTGTTTTTTTCTTGATGAGATACATTGATAAAGATTTTTATAAATTAAATATAAATTAGAATTGTGAAAAGTGAATAAAGCAATTATAATGATCTAAACAATAATGTATTTTACGCATAAATTGCAAGTGAAGATTTTTAAAAAATATTTTCTTTTACGTATAAAATATTTATTTTATTTTATTTATATCACTAAATTGCAAGCAAATAGAATAAAAATGAAAAAAGTACATTATGTGTAAATTACATTTTTACTGTAGGTGCTCTTGTATAAAATAATATGCAATTTATAACACACACACACACATCATGTACAGGGTGTTCAATTTTAATTGACCACTCTCCAAAATTTTTTTATTTTTAATTGTACAACAAAATGTTTTAGATAAAAGTTGTTTAATTTAAAAGAAGAAAATATGGGACTACTAATTGTTTTTCAAATGCGGTTTTCAAGATCATTTGAAAGTCATTTATGTTTTTTTTAATAGAACCACTATATTTTTTATATAAATCGATTCCTCATAATTTTCGGTATAAAAAGTGACAAGGATAAAATGACTAAAAAATGAATAGTTTACGAAATATTTCATAATGTATGGATCTTTAGTGTCAAACTTAAATATAAAATATCTCGTAAACTATTCATTTTTTACCATCTTACCCTTATAACTTTTTATGCCGAAAATTACGAGGAATCAATTTATATAAAAAAGTTATAGTAGTTCCATTAAAAAAAACATAAATGACCTTCAAATGACTTTGAAAAGTGCTCTTCAGATAAAAGTAAATAATGTCATCTTCTGTCCTTTTTTAAATCAAACAACTTTTATCTGAAACATTTTGTTGTACAATCAAAAATAAAAGTTATTTGGGATGGGACATTAAAATACGACACCCTGTAATTCTGTTTATTTATTCACAGAAAATACTACATTAAACAGAAATATTATCTTTATTTATTTTATTCAATATTGTATCCTTTCTATTTTTTTTTATTTTTATTCATTTTACTCAACATATATACGTCGCAAAACCTGAGTACGAAATTATGATACACTCTCCGTATCTTTGTGAATCAGCCTGTATTTATAACATACGCTTATGTGCGTATATACAGGGTAACCCATTTTAATCTATCACCTCTCGTAATTACGACCGGCAGGGAGCCGGTCGTAGAGAAAAATGGTTCAGACAAAATCCTTGTAGGGTTTAAAGGGGGTTATTTGATGATGACCTTGATCTTGATCTTGAAGCCAAATTTGAAGGTCATTTGAAGGTTAATATAAAAATTTTAAATTAAAATACAAGTCTTTATAGTGATCTCCAAATGACCTTCAAATTTCCAAATGACCTCAAGATCAAGGTCACCATCAGATGAACCAAGAACTTATGTCTGAAACATTTTTCTTTACGCTCCTTGCAAAGTTAGGATGATAGATTAAAATGAAGCACCCTGTACATGGATATACACAACTACGACCCACGCTCCAGCTCCAAACTCCAAACCTAAGGCGAAGTTTTCTCGGCGGCTTGCGACAGTCGATCGAGAGGAATCGCGAGAGAATGTGGCCGGTCGTTTCGCTTCTCGTAATCCTCTGCTCGTCGGTGCGCATGTGTCGCGCCGATGATGATGAGCTCGACATCAATGAAATCGACGGCCATGTTTCGGCTTCGCGCGAAACACAATATATGCGTGACGATACCATCACGCTCGGAGAGATCTACGAGAACGCGGTCCAGGCCTATCTCGAGGAAGACTGGGACGGTTGCATCACAAGGTTTAACGATGCTCTGCATACGTATGTCATTATTATATATTATTTCATTTTATTGTTTGTATGTAATATTCTTAAAAAAAATCTTAAAGTATCGAATCTCTGTAATTAATTTTTTTTATTATTATTTTAAATAATAAATAAATTTTATTATTTATTTTTAAAGAAAGTAATCTACCTAAAAATTAAAGAATTTTTGTAATTTTTTGTTTTGCCTATATTGTATATAAATTCTCAAATTTTATATTTATTTTATTTAATAATTAATCAATTGAAGTTGTTAAATAAACATTTATAAGATATGTATATATTATATATATACAAGGATGTGCAAATAAATGGGTGTTCAAACCCATTTAAAATTAAAAAATGCAAAAAGTTGGAAGTTTTTCATTTGACAACGCAAAATGCAAAATATTAGACTAGTTTTTTATAGATATCCATTTAGGATATCTATATATATATTCACTTAAAATATCTATAAAAGGAATGAAAAATAAGAATTTTTGAAATAATTTTTTTTAATAAAAACAACTTTCAAATATTTACATATACAGGATGTCCCGGAACATCCTTAACAACGTTCATGTGATGATAGAGCGCATTGATACGAACGAAAAAGTCTTATACCATTTTGCGATATCTTTAATAATAACCGAAATATTTAATGTTAAAGTCAAGCGAATAAAAGCGAGTAAGAGAGATAAAGTCAAGCGAATAAGAGAGAAAATTTTATTAAAGATATCGCAAAATGGTAAAGACTTTTTCGTTTGTCTCAATGCGCTCTATCACCACACGAACGTTGTTAAGGGTGTTCCGGGACACCCTATATATATACACACACACATATATATATATTATATATAAGTAATATATTTATTATTAAATTCTTATTTCATATTTAAAATCTTGGCCGTGTCCAAGTAAAAATTTGGTGCCTTGTGTACCGGTATTTAATTCTAACGAAAAATTATTTAGTTTCGTTAGGATAACGCATTGTCATCCGCGATTTGGCTCTTGTTGCCCGTCTTATACGTTAAATTTATATTTATATTACAGAGCCTTGTTAAAACTCTTATATTTGATACACGCTGGCTTAAAAAATGCGTTTGTTTACCAACATTAATATATATAACAGAGAAAAGTATAGAATCAAAAGGATCTGAATAGCTCAGCTGGAAGAGCAGTCGCCCGGCAAGCGAAAGGTCTCGGGTTCGATTCCCGATTCAGCGATTTTCGGATCTATATTTTTCTCTTGCATTCATTTATTTATTTTCCGTAGGGGGGTTAAAGGGGTATTGAAATTAAATCTCAAAATATGAGATTATTTCATATTTAAAATCTTGGCCGTGTCCAAGTAAAAATTTGGTGCCTTGTGCACCGGTATTTAATTCTAACGAAAAATTATTTAGTTTCGTTAGGATAACGCATTGTCATCCGCGATTTGGCTCTTGTTGCCCGTCTTATACGTTAAATTTATATTCTTATTTTTTATTATTTACTTTTTTTATAATTATTATTTATATTTAAGTTTTTATTTCTCTTAAATTTCTCTTAAATTTTTATAAACTTTATATATTTTAATAGAAACAAAAACAAAACATGACGTAAATATATATATTTACATGTGGAATTACAAAAAATATTTATTATTGTTTACTGACATTTATTTAATGATTTCTTTAATAACGTTTTGATTGTTACACATATTACTGATATCTCGATTAATTTTTAATTTGCAAGAAAAATACATTTAAAATCAACAATTTATAAAATCGGCAATAAAAACTATTTAAATGTAAATATAAAATAGTTTTTGAAAACATGTTTTTTAAATGGAAAATACAAAATAGACATTTTACAAATTTTTTGGCCCGATTTTCTGACTTCCAATAGAAAAATGGCCCAAATATTACACAATAATTACATCGCGAAAGGAAGAAATTTCACAATGTTTGTATTAAATGCTTCGCTATAACGTAGCGATTTTGTCAGAATAAAATTTGATATTTGCTCACAAATTGAATCATTTATTATGCACAATTATTAGGTGTTATATGTATTATAATGATTGTTATATATTTCATGTTATAACATTTAAAAATTATAACTTTAAATAATTGTATATTTTTAATATACTTATAGATATTTTATATTTACTTTATTTAATAATTAATCAATTGAAGTTGTTAAATAAACATTTATATTATAAGATATGTATATATATATTATATATATTTATTTATTTTATTTTATAAAATATTTTAAAAATACAAAACTCAATAATACATATATTATTTATTAGGTAATTTTTTCCAAATTTAATTTTACAAATATTCCAAGATACTTCTCCATAACGTTATCGTTTTGCTGAAACACTATTTAGCAATAAATTGTGTGCAATTTATATATATATATATATATATATATATATATATATATATATAAATGTATTATTGAGTTTTGTATTTTTAAAATATTTTATAAAATAAAATAAATAAATATATATAATATATATATACATATCTTATAAATGTTTATTTAACAACTTCAATTGATTAATTATTAAATAAAGTAAATATAAAATATCTATAAGTATATTAAAAAATATACAATTATTTAAAGTTATAATTTTTAAATGTTATAACATGAAATATATAACAATCATTATAATACATATAACACCTAATAATTGTGCATAATAAATGATTCAATTTGTGAGCAAATATCAAATTTATTCTGACAAAATCGCTACGTTATGGCGAAGCATTTAATACAAACATTGTGAAATTTCTTCCTTTTGCGATGTAATTATTGTGTAATATTTGGTCATTTTTCTATTGGATATACATATACATATATATATTATATATATATATATATATATATATATATTTGCTCAAAGATCTAAATTTTTACATGTATTGTTTCAAACATATAGAATATTACATAATTGCAGCATTCCAAATTTTATTCAGATTTCGTCATATAATTTTATAAATGTTTTCCTAGTGGGGGTTTCAAATATTGCAATAATTTTTAATAAAATTTCATGATATAGATTAAGAATATGTATATCTACTTATTATTCTCATGGCCATTTTGGAATAAAACTCTAAAATTTGGAGTTTTGATCCGTCCAACTCAATATATAATTTTAAACTCAATACAGTGTTTATATATCCTTAATCTACAAGTCCACGTTTTTGTAAATATGTTTTACAGATATAAAATGTACAAACGTACGGTAACGATTTGCCGTCGAAAATGTAGAGCCGAGGCGACAGGTTCTTCGCCGATCTTTGCGGAAGATATCGAAGATCTGCACTTTTACGAGCGAAAAGTAAAAGAGACACTCTGTTTAATGAAATGCAATCAGGATTACCGTGAGATCACAGGTGCGGGGGCGCTTAAACGACTCCCACGCGCTAAGGAAATGAAGTTTGTCAATTTTACCATCTATGAGTACCTTCATATCTGTTATTTTCAGGTACGAATAAAAGCGCCATTTTGACAAAAGAGCAATTAAAACTCATTATTAAAGTATTTTTCATCTCATTTAATCTTGTATATGCGGAAGCGTTAAAAAATCAACAAAATGTTTGAAGATTATTCTTTTATTTAGAAATTTTTTTGACAAATTTTTAGAAATTCGGTAAAACAAACTGCTAACTTTTTCTATATCGTACTGGTATATGTTTACTAAATTTATTTTTTAATTATAGAAATATTAGTTTTTTTGTATTTAAATGGACAACTGAATAAAATATTATCAAATTTTATAATTATATTGATATATAATACTTATTTATATTTTTGATACAAAAAGTATTTTTACAAAAAGGATTAATAATTTGGGAATTAAAAATATTTTGTTAAATTTTTGAAAATAATTCATTATTATGAATAAGACATTCTTATATAGATAGCTTTTGTTGCAGACTTAAGAGAACTTTTATATAAAAATAAAACTTTATTTTTTTACAATCTTTTTGTTAAAAGTACGATTTCAAAAATTCATGGATACAATATCTAGCAAACCAGTATTGTAAATCGTACCAAATACTACTTCTTTTTCATTTTTAATATTATAATACAAAACAATGATAAATTTGTGTTAATGTTTAGCGTATATTGTTGACAAAAAAGACATTTCAAATAAATTTCAAAAAATTTTGTCATTTTTTTTGATAGTTTTATTGTAATTTTAATATTTACCTTAAAGGGGTACCATTTAGCATACTTTCTTCTAATTTATTTACAGAATCATGCTTTATTTATAATTAATACTACTATAATTTGTGTATATTTTTGTATTTATCCTACACAGCACAAAACATTTCAGAGACCTTCGCAAAATTTATTCGAAAATATTTCATATACGTCTTAAATACGTGAAAATGTCCGCTATTTTGTCACAAATATGTTTATGAAAGATTGCATAAATGTTTCAAATGTTACTTTTTCTATGTTATGTTTCTTAGATGTTGTGATGACGTTTCAGTGTTACTTGAAACTTTTTTGAAACTTTGAAACGTTTCTGCAACATTTTTGTTGAGTTTTGTGCTGTGTAAAATAATATTTAACGCAGTTATAATATATTGTAAAATATATGTTGTTGCTTGTTTTATCATTCAATTAACGATACCAATGAACGATGATTCACTTATACATTATATTAATATCTCAACTTTGTTTTGATTTATAATTTGTTACTTTGTTACTTCCACGGTAAGAAATTGCGTTGCCTAGATTCGTGTACTTGCGCCTATGGAAGGTTTCGCAAGCGTCACGAAAATATACTCCCCCGAATTCTAATCTGGAGGATTACGTAATTTCGGCATAACATAAAATATACTACGCGTTCATTTCTCGTAAACAGTGTTTGCCTGTTTGCTGTTATATATAAATAAAATTATATAGATGATCATCTAGATGAAGTTTTGGCGTCATTTTATCTTTATATAGATAATAAAAATATATATTATTTATATCTATATCTTAAATGAAAAAAAGTGTTATCTTTATTTAATTATTTAGAATAATGTTCAGATTTATAGATAATATATATATATATATATATATATATATACTTATTATAAACTTATAAAAGTTGTCATCAATTGTAATTGCAAAAAATGTTTTTTATAAAAATCAAAATTTCTTTGTTATTTATTATTATAAAATTTAAAAGAATTAATAAACAAAAATCTAATTTAATATAAATAATGTTTTTAAAAATTAACTTTTGATTTAACTTCAGTTAATTTAATCTTAACTTTAACTCTCTCAGTCAATTTTTGTTTATGCAGATTTAACTTATTTAACTAAATTAATTTTATAATACTTAACTTTAACTTAACTTAGTTTAAAAAAATTATTAACTTACCCAATCCTGCCAAATTATAAGCTTTCGAAACATTTCATGTATATTTCCGGTCTAGCAATCTAATAAAGTTATATCTTCTAGTAGAGTTATATTATATATACATATATATATTTTCTTATCAAAAGACCTTGAGATAATTGGAAATATAATCAAGCAACTAATATGACGCCGTTTATTTTGTTAGCAAAAAATACGATAATTAGCGATATGATTAAGTATTTTATAAGTAGGTTGAAATTTGTTTGTATGATTTCAAACTCTCTATAATTATTTAGAAAAGAAAGACAGAGTATTTTCGAGTAAATTCGAACACTTCTAACTTCTAACAAATCATCGTTACGAATAAATTTTTATAGAAAGGGAGACATCAGGATGCAGCAAATGCAGTCTTTACCTTCCTCACCCTACACCCTGATCACGAGATGGCAACGGAGAATCTTAGATACTATCTGAATCTACCTAACGTGATCGCGGAAAAAGTTGTGAATTTAGAGGAGGCGCCGTTTGTGCAAATATATATTCGAGGGGTTAAAGCGTACGAAAATGAGAATTACGTGGAGGCTGTCGCCGAGTTTGAGAGTTCCCTAGAATCTTACATGGAATTCGAGGAGAACTGCAGAAACTATTGCGAAGGACCCTTCGATCAAGGATGGTATCCTGAATTCACCTCTTCGATAGCAAGTAAAGTTAATTGAATACCCGGGAAAAAGTCCATATATAATCACTAGCTTTTCGGACCGCGCTTCGCGCGGTCCTCATATAGCCTATATTAAATCCGTTTTAACACAAAAAATTAATTCTTTTTTGTATTACCGCGAACTACTTCCACATTTGTTGTCCGACTTTCACGAAATTTATATCAAAATAAATGTTTAAATTTTTTTGGATGACTACTATGTTATCTATTTCTTTCTCCCAGATATTTTATTTTACACCGCGTTTTGCATATATTTAAATATTTATTATATATTTTTATTTTTATTTTCTTGTTTATTTTAATTTCCACACAATTTCATATTTTTAAATATAAAACATTATTTTAGTTAATATATACTTTAAATATTTTTTTATTACTTAATTATTATATCCTTTTTTACATTTTACTCAATTTTTTTTATTTCTAATGTACCCACCGCTAACCCGCTATTATTAGCTCTCATACAATGTCATAATTCTTCAATTTACAAAATTTCCCTGTATATTACATTTTTGTAAAACATTTTTTACTTTAATCACAAACACGTACACACATTTTTTAAAAATTACTTCTTGGTGTGACCAAGTCAATAAATGCGTATGCACATGGGTGCGTGGATACGTGGGTGAGTGCATGGGTGGATAAATAAAGTGATAAAAATTTGTTAAAATCATATAGTAGCCATCCCGGACAAAATTTGAGTACAAATTTCGAAAAAGTCTGTGAATAAATGTTTGAATGCGTGGGTGGATGCATGGGTGGGATAAAACTTAAAAGAACCACACAGCAGCTTTCTCAGAAAAATTTGCAACATTTTTGTACCAATTTTGTGAAAATTGGTCCATAAATGCGCATGCGTGTGGGTGAATGCGTGGGTGGAGGTGTAACACTTGAAAAACCACATCGTCGCCATCTCCAAAAAATTTGCAACATTTTGGTACCAATTTTTACAAAAATCCGTTCATAAATATGCGATTGCGTGGGTGGATGCGTGGGTGGGGGCGTAAACCTAAAAAACCCACACAGCAGCTTTCTCAGAAAAATTTGCAACATTTTTGTACCAATTTCGTGAAAATTGGTCCACAAATGCGCATGCGCGTGGGTGGGTGCGTGGGTGGAGGTGTAACACTTGAAAAAACCGCATCGTCTCCATCTCCAAAAATTTGCAACAATTTGGTACCGATTTAAAAAAAATCGGTTCATAAGTATGCGATTGCGCGGGTGGGTGCGTGGGTGGTGGCGTAAACTTAAAAAACCCACACAGCAGTTTCCTCAGAAAAATTTGCAACATTTTGGTACTAATTTCGTGAAAATTGGTCCATAAATGCGCATGCATGTGTGTAAATGCGTGGGTGGAAGTGTAACACTTAAAAAAACCGCATCGTCGCTATCTCCAAAAATTTTGCAACATTTTGATACCATGTGTTCAGAAATATTGCAAAAAAAATTTTTTTTGCAAAAACATACCCTCCTCTGAGGAAAAAAAATAAAAATTAAAAAATTAAAAAAAAAACCCACAGCAGCCACCCCCGAAAAATTTACAACATTTTGGTACCAATTTCGAAACAATCGGTCCACAAATGCGGAAGTAGTTCGGATACAGACAGACAGACAGACGGACGGTGCTTATATATATAGATATATGTATATATAAAACATCGAACAACGTTCTCACAAATTTTATATATTAATTTAAATGTTATTATGTAATAGATCAATGTGATTGTCTACATGTGTATAATTTAATATATATTTTTTTATAAATACTATTATTAATTGCCAAAAATATTTTCCATTCTTTGTTACTTATTAATCATTTTTAGATCATTTTGCATTTTGTCTAAAGTGTAAACGTGGATGCTCACTTGCCCTGAACAATGTGAATGGCAAATTTCAAGCTGACCTGCTCAGAAGCCATTATAATTACTTGCAGTTCGCTTATTATAAATGTAAGTAGTTTTTAAATTAATTTATTAAACTAAATAATTGAAAACAAAATATCTTTCTCGGATTAATAGAAGAACATTATTATAAATAGTAGTATTAATTAGTAGAAGAACATTATTATAAATAGTATTATAATTAGTAGTATTAATTAGTAGAAGAATATACAGATCATATTATTATAAAATTAAGTGCTATTAATATTTATGCAATTAATGAGATATTTATCATTACGTAATGCAATACTTATTTATAAAATATGTAATGTTTATGTCCCTGAGAAACTATATAATGAATTGCAAGATCTGTTGACGGAAATATCCATACACACATATAACACACACATATACCTAATGAGAAATGATCGGTCGAATCGACGTCGAATCGATATCGATTTATCTATTATTTCTCCCTAGATATATACTATACATATATTGAATATTTTATCTGCATGATTTGAACATATTTTATATTATTTTTGTTAAACGTCAGTTTTGTTAATATCTCGAAAAAAAATTAAATTAGAAAAAATTTTGACTAATTAAGTATAATATAATATTTATTCTTCCAAGCAAGCAACTTTTTTCAGAAACATTTTTTATATTCTTATTAACAATGAAATAATAATATGTAAAATATATCTTGTACAATTTCATATTCGTTTTTTACTCAAGTAACATTTTAAAAACATTTAAAGATTATTTAATTTATTTTATTGGAATTTCTTTTTTTGTTGGAAAAAACTATTTGTTAATCGAAGTAACATTTGATTTGAAATTAATTTATTTATTTAATCAATATTTTCAAAGATATTAAAGAAAATTTACAAAAAATATTATCTTTTAAACGTTAAGATAACTTATTAAAAATATTTTGTAAATAATCTTGAAAATTTTTTAAAAATATCAGTATTCTTAAAATTCTACCTATACTTTTCATTAAAATATTCTTTTTGTAAGAAAATTTACGAGATATACAACTAAAATGGAACATCCTGTATATACAAATTTTGTACAACTAAAACGCTGACATAAAATGTAAATTAATTCACGACATCACAACCGTGAATTAAAATGACCTTGCTGTCATGATTCATTAAAGAGAATATTTTAAAAGCTCCATCAAACAATTTCTTCAATAATCTTTCGTAAGATTAACTGTACTGATCTCTGTATTTTAGCAATTATTCAAATATTAATTGTCTTTTCCGAAATTGTCTTTTTTCTCTATTATATTATATTATTATATTAATTTTCAATAAATATTTTACTTGGTATAAAATTTATTAAAAATTTACTTAGTGTTAGATTTTAACTATATAGTTTAAAAAAATATATTTACACACACACACACACACACACATTTAAAAAAGAAATAAATAAATGTTGCAATTAAAATGTAAACTTGAGAATTAAGAAAATTAAGAGTGTACAAAGTATAAATAATAATTTTTATTTATTTTATGTATAGTGGGTAATTTGAAAGCAGCCTGTGCAGCAGTTGCAAGTTACTTATTATTTATACCCGCTGACGAAACAATGCTTCATAATAAAGATTATTATAACAATCAACCGAAAGTGAGGGAAGAATACTTTGCGCCAAGAGAGGTATGTAAAAAAATAGAGAATTATTAAAAATTTTTTATAATAAGAATAGTATAAGATTTAATGTATTAATATAGAAAAATATATTAATAAAAAAATATATATTTATAAATTAATAAAAATAAAAATAAAAAATTAGTAAATGAAACTTTTTACGGCTCGTATAAAATTAAAATAAAGAAGAACATACATAAACAGGCCAACTTAAAAACGAGCAAATTATTTAGGTGTAAAAAATAATTTATTTATTGACATAAAATAAAATAAATAAAACGTATACGTTTTGACTGTTACGACAGTCTTCCTCGGTACATAATTTCGTAAAAAATAATAATGTTCGAAATCTATAATAGTTGGAAAGACATGAAATTAATTCGACTAAAACGCATTCTTATGTACAATCAAACAACGCAAAGACTATGATCTGGTTACCACTACATGTGACTGCGTTTTAGTCGAATTAATTTCATGTCTTTCCAACTATTATAGATTTCGAACATTATTATTCTTTACGAAATTATGTACCGAGGAAGACTGTCGTAACAGTCGAAACGTATACGTTTTATTTATTTTATTTTATGTCAATAAATAAATTATTTTTTACACCTAAATAATTTGCTCGTTTTTAAGTTGGCCTGTTTATGTATGTTCTTCTTTATTATATATATTTATATTTAAATAAGTATTAAAATTGAAATTATACATATAATTAAACTATTTTAATTTATTTTAATTAATTTTTTACTTATCTTTTATATTATATATACTAATAATAGAGAGAAGAATTTCGGAAATGACAATTGAAATATTTGAATAATTGCTCAAATGTAAAGATTATAGTACAATTATAATTTTACCCCGAAAGATAATTCAAGCAATTGTTTAATAGAGCTTATAAATATTCTCTTTAACAAATGAAGACAACAAGGTTATTTTAATTCACGACATTTATATTTTATATATCAGCGTCTTAGTTATACAAAATATTTATATACAAAATGTTCCGTTTTAATAAACTAAATGACTTTTTTACAAAATTATTTATTTACAAAAAATATTTTAGAGAAAAGTTGCAAAATTTTAGGAACACTAATATCTCTTTTTACGTTTTTATTTGATTAATGTTTCAAAAATTATTTAAAAAATACTTAATTTATTTTAAATAACCATTAGAAGATAAAAATGTTTTTCATATTTCTTTAATATCTCCGAAAGTATTGATTAAATAAATAAATAGTCTTAAATCAAATGTTGCGGTTAATAAATAATTTTTCCCAATAAAAATATAGATTCCAATAAAATAAATTAAGAGTATACCTAATCTTTAAATGATTCTTTTAAAACTTTAATCGAGTGAAAAATGAATATCAGCATCTTTCTTTGAATGATGGAAAAGCGTTAAATAAGAATAAATAATTAAATAATATTTTATTTAGAGAATTTTTTTAGGAGGCGCTTTCTTACGTAAAGCGGCAAGAATACGAACTGATGTTGTTGAATTATATATCTGAAGAATTTGCGGTGATCGATGCCAGATTCAAAGCATTCACTAAGAAGATTCACGCAAAAAAGAAGATTGAACGAAAAAACGAAGAGGAACTTGGAAAGGTAAACAACGAGACATAAAAGAATTCCAAAGAAAATTTTTCTCACAAAGTACTTATAATAATGTTTTGAGATCACATACGAATTGATACGCGATAAGAGACCCTTTGTTGCCATGTTGCCTTTCTGTTTGAAGGATAACGCGCACATAAATCTGACCATTGGATATCGTGCTTAGATCATCAGTCAATATCGGTCAATTCTGATTAGCCGATCGACTAGTTTTAATACCAGAAAACTTTAACTTTCCATGTACCATATATTTGTATTCAAACAATAATTTGTACACAATAAAATGCTAAGAAAATAATCTGAATTTTTATTTTAAATATATATACAAACTGTCAATATATATTAATAAAATTAAAATCAAAAAAATATTATACGAACACATAATATGTGTACATATATTATAATAATATTGCATACGATGCATTTCCTATCAGTCCCCACGTCATCGCCTGCTTAAATGCAACCCTATTTACTTCTTCGCTCGTAATGATATAGAAATATAGGCGTGTCAGGCTTGAAGTTCTCAAGATAAAAAATAATTTAAAAAAAAATGAAAAAATAAATCCTATTTCTATCCTCTAAAAGGCATAAATAACATCTTATTCTTTTTCAAATAGCAAACTAACGTCATTAAACATAAAAATGACGTTATTAAACGTCAAAAAAATGTATCCTTGCTACTTGGATTATATACTTGTTACCTTTCATTTTTCTAGTATTCTTCCTTGATTTTACATCCACCTCCGGGTCACTCACCATCCACGAGGACGCTTGTTGGTAATCTATCGATATTTCGGGACGAGAAGGAAACGGACGCGCAAATAAGTCGTATCAGAGAGCGGTCAGAAATCACTGACGATGCAGAAATAATAGCAGGGGAAAAGAAACTCGGTGGGAAAAATCGCTATGCAGCAGACGGTCTTCTCAATTCCACTGAATGCGATCTCCTTATGCAACTGACTCGGGTAAATGAAATTTTTATTTTAAGATATTTCTCACTTAATGCCCCGCTGTCGATTCGAATTATATAAAATATTATATATCACAGTTATGTCATTTCTAAAATTATAAAATTAATAATGAATATCTTTATAATATATATATATATATATATATATATATATATATATATATATATATATATATTATGAAGATATTTATTATTAATTTTATAATTTTAGAAATGACATAACTGTGATGTGTGTGCGTGCGTGCGTGCGTGCGTGCGTGTGTGTGTGTGTGTGTGTGTGTGTGTGTGTGTGTGTGTGTGTGTGTGTGTGTGTGTGTGTGTGTGTGTGTGACAGAGAATATTTAAATATTAAATTTTCGATTTTAAATATATTAAATTTGTATTTGCAATATAAAAAACTATAAAAATAAATATAAATAATATTTAAAAATGTATCTCTTCAAGCGACGTCATTCTGACGTCTAATGACGTCATTAGATATCAAAGTCATTTTTACTTTCAATAATGTCAATTTGCTACTTGAATCTCTATTTCTCTCTCCTTAATACATTTATATTATTTATCAATTAATTCTATGCCAAAGAATTTAAGAAAACTAAACAAATAAAAAATATTTATACGAGTACGTATATTACGTATAAATAATTCAGAAATATTCTAGATTGCTATGGTGGAGGGTGATGGCTATGAAGAAAACAAGAGTCCACATTCGCCTTACGAGCGTTTCGAAGGTGTAACTATTGGCAGGATAGCGTTGGTAAAAATTATATTTATATCAAGAATATTCTATAATACAGGTTGTCTCTGAAATACTTTTAGACGAATTTATTCTAAGACATATTCTTTAAAATAAAAAAAATATATACTTATAATAAAAATGAGTAGGTGCAAGTTATTGTGAAAGTTATAGTAAGTTTATTTGAAAATAAATAATTTCAAAGACACCCTATATATATCGAAAAATTACCCAAATAGCAAACTAACGTCATTAAATGTTATTTTGACGTTTAATGATGTCAATTTGCTACTTTTGGATTATTTAATAATTCTATACTAAAATTTAAAAAGCTAAAAAAAAATAAAAAAGAAATTTTTTTAAATTTTAGATGATGTACTTCAACCTGACAAAGCCGGAACTACTGGAGCTATTCTTGCAACGCACGGAAGCGGTCCGCAATCACGTGGAAAGGTATTTCAACCTTGACTCAACACTGTATTTCACCTACACCCATTTGGTCTGCCGAACGGCTTTAATCGGTAATTCTCACCTGACGCATTCTCGTACTTCTGACGTCACTTTTCGCTGACATGCTCTCATCGTAAGAATTATTGGTATGACACATAACATTAAAATTTTGATATCATAAAAATTAAATGCTTGATCAGATCGTATTTCATCAATCTTTTGAACTCTATTTTATTTAATTATTTAATTTTTTTATTAACAAAACGCAATTGCCAAGATAAATAAATAGATATATTCGGTTATTCTATTATATTTTAATTGAGCAATTTAACCCTTTTATTAATGTGAACCTATCCAAAAATAATAACTTTGTTGATGTTAATTGAGGAAATGTTAATTAAAAATATGTCGGACCTTTCTTCCGTCCAAAACAAAATATAAAGTATCCTTATAGGGAAAAATAAATTCAACTTTAGATATCGTAAAAAAACCACCAAAAAATCCTTAATGCTAAATGTAATTTCGGATCGTCAATGAAAATTATAATCTTCAAATGATGATTAATTGATAATTAATCTTTATGTTCAATTGATGGTTAATCTTAAAAATGACAGTAATCATTTTCAATGAGAACTCTCAAGTGAAAATAACAACAAAACAAGTAATACGGAAAATATTCCGCGAAGCCAATCACCTTATATGTAGTATTAATATGTCATTCCACATTTCAACATTTAATACTAATACATACTGATTGAGCCCAAATTTTAATAGAAACTATTGTCACTCAAAAACTTCCATATGCTGCAAACCAGAGTTCGCTAGGATCCTCCTAAGCTAAAAACGAGCAGTTTTAAAAATACGACGAAGAAATTGTAAAAAGCATAAGAGTTTAATAAAAATAAATAATGTTTGGACGTTCTCAATTTGCCCAACTATGAAAGTGAACCTTCAATCTACTCATCATTAAAGGTGTTAATCTCTACCTAAATTTATTTGAGATTTAAAAACACAATAACTTACATTAAATAATTAACGTTAAATGTACACTAAATTTAGTGTTAACACTCAACTTTGATAACAAACATTCAACTTACGCTCAAAAATTTCAGTATTAACACTCAGATTAATTCTTTAATGATGGCAACATCCAAATTTTAGTGTTAACTATCAAAATTGAATGTATTTTCTCATAAGTGCAATCGCCCAAGTAGCAAATTGACGTCATTAAACGTCAAAATGACGTCATTTAAGTGTTAATACTCAATTTTGATGACAAATAATACATTCAACTTACATTCAAATTTCAATATTAATACTCAGATTAACCCACTAATGATGGTTAATATCCAAATTTTAGTATTAACTATCAAAATTAAATGTATTTTTTCATAAGTGCAATTGCCCAAGCAGCAAACTGACGTCGTTAAACGTCAAAATGACGTCATTTTGACGTCGATAATGTTATTTTAACGTTTAATGACGTCAATTTGCTATCTATAGGATGTGTCAAAAACACTTAGTTGATACGCATATACTTATATATTGATAAAACAGTATGTGAACCATTGTGCATCGACAAAAGGATTAAATATATATACAAATAGATGAAGGTCTGGAACAACTATATATGTATTTAATCATCAGAATGTTTATTTTATCATGTGTCATTTTCTTTCAGATTCGCCAGCAGATCGGACGGATCTGAGTCATGAAATTCACGCTGATAATTGTGTGATAAAAGGTGGCAGTTCCTGCCTACGAGAGGAACCTGCGTACACGTGGCGAGATTATTCAGCGATTTTATATCTCAACGACGATTTCGACGGCGGCGAATTCTTTTTCGTCGACGACTGGAAGAGTCGTCACGTCCAGGGCGTCGTTCGACCTCGATGCGGACGTATGGTGGCGTTTTCCGCCGGTAGTGAGAATCTTCACGGTGTTCAGGGTGTACGCAACCGTAGAAGGTGCGCTGTGGCGTTGTGGTTTACTCTGGATAAAAAATATCTGGAATACGAAAGGATAGTGGCGGATATCATGCTGACGAGAGTTCGTATTTTGGGTACTGCGCAACATGAAGATACCCGAATACCTTCCAGGTAAAAAAAAATACAATATAGAACACTAACGACCTTAACAGCACACATATCCCGAAGACGTTCAGAGAACATCCTGGGAATGTTCAAATGTCCTCTGGATATCCTCTGAATATCTTCTAAATATCTTTCGGATATATTGTGCTATTAAGGGATAGGATTACCCACATAGCAAACTGACGTCATTTTGACGTCTAACGACATCAGCTGGCTATATTTGGAATAGTGTCGAATTCTATGACTTCGAAAAAATATATACTTTTAAATAGACTCGAAGAATTATGTCATTTTGACGTCTAATGACGTCATTCGACATCAAAATGACAAACACTTGCTATTTTTAATGGTTCCAAAATTGTTTTGTAACTTTTGTCTGTGATTATACGTATGGTTTATTTCTTATATAAAATATCTTGGTTTATTTCTTATAAAAATAATAGATTTTATAATATCGAGATATACGTACAACTATAATAACATATAACTTTATATAACAGATATGAAGACATGCTGATCCAGTGTTTTAAAGAAGATGAAACGTTGAGGCACATATTAAGAGAACGAAGCAACAAAAAGAATAACCTTAATAGATATATTACGTAAGATCTATTCTGTGAAATATTTTTATTTAAAATGAAATAGTTGATCAAGTTTTGGGAGGAAAAATGTACAAATTAACACGAGTATATTAACTTATTTGATTTACAGAAAATATATACATATAAAAGAATATATATAACTCTTATGGAAATTTATCACTAGCAAGTTCAAATAATCACTTATTTCGAGTACTTAAATTATTACTGATGTTTGTGAATAATCACATCTTGCGTGTAATTTCCGAGTATATTCCTCGGTCGACGCAAGTCGAGACACAAATCTCTAGTTTCTCTTTATTTGACGGTGACGACTACGATGAGTTTCGAAATAATTTAGAATGCTGCTTTGACTTGTTCGATTCTTTATTATATTGCTCAGAGAGAAATAACTTGAGGCAGTGATAGGATTAATAATGCTCGTCTTTCGCCAAATACGCGACATTATACTAATTGTAAGTAGTCTCCACCGATAGTCCCGCAGGTCACGAATTTTACCGAAATAAGTCGATCACATCCTCGTGTCCTAAATTAATTTAACCCGATAACAATTTGTGCATTATAAATGGAGCATAAATATAATAACTAAGTCTTTATAATAACACATACTCTCAAGATAATAACAAGATATTGTTCGTTTCGTAAGCTGTTTATCACAATATTAACATATAAGACAAGTAATAATAATATAAGAATACAAATAATTCGGTAAGTATGAAACAACTGATATACAGTAATTTAAGTATTCGAAATAAGTGATTATTTGGACTTACTAGTGATAAATTTCTATGAAGGAAAATATTTAATATATAAAATATTTAATATATAAAATATATAATGTATATATATAATGTACAAAATTAATATATATTTTAATGACTGGACCATAACTAAAGATTTAAAATATTTGTTAAATGTTTTAATGATATTTTGTAATAAATATAGTAAAAAAATAATTTGTAATTAAGTTTGTAACTTAAGTACTTATTCCTATCTCTAAAAAATGTAATAAAAACATATTTTTAAAATATACAATTACCCATCACAAATTGTAATTTTTTTTTAATTACAACAATGTTACACCAATTAATTTATCTCATTAATTTATCTCGTACAGAAAAATATTAAGTAAAATTATTAAATTATTATTTATTATTATTTAAGAAAAATTATTAATGAAGATCATGAACTCATTATAATTTTTAAATTTTAAATTATTATATAGTTAATTTTTAAATTATTTAATTAATATATAATTTAAACGTAAAAAGAGTAATCAAAATATAGGCATTTTATATATGTATAATTATTGCAATTGCAACACAATATAATTTATAGAAAATATCCTAAATCTTTATTATAGGGAAAATTGACATATTTAACATATATGTCAACAAGTTTACATAACCGCGCTTGTTTTCACGCAACACATATATGTATGTATATGCATCGTCGAATTCTATACATATATCTCTCCTTATAAGAGTTTTATGTGATTTATATATACGCGCAATATATATATTCAATATTGCATTGTCTAATAATTTAGCAATATACATATATATATATATATATATATATATATATATATATATATATACACAGGGTTTGTCCCAAAAGTAATGAGCCTCATTTTTTTGCGGGAGATGACGCCACCGGCGGGAAAGCAGACAGCGACGACAGCGGGCAGGAGCAAGAAAAGGGAGATGAAAGGACGATGGAAAAATATGTCACGGGAGAAGATATATGGACAAAAAGTTTAGAGAAAATAATAAGGGAGATAGAAGAAATGAGAGAAGAGATGGAAAGAATGAAAGAACAAATATCGGAGAGGAGAAGAGAAAGGGAGGAAGAAAGAAAAAGAAAGAAAGTGAAGAATGGAGAAAAGAGAAGGAATCAATGGAGAGAAGAATAGCAGCGATGGAATGGATTAATGAAAAAAAGGAGAGAGAGGATAGAAGGAATAATATTGTTATAAAAGGTGTAAAATGGGAAAAGGAGAATTTAAAGCAGGAAGTGATAGAATTTTTAGAGGTCAACTTAAAGTAAAGGCAATGGTAAATAAGACAAGAAAAATAAGGCAGAACGAGGAGAGAAGTTTAGTGATAGCGGAGATAAAAAACTGGGAGCAAAAAAGAGAGGTTATGTACAAGAAGAAAGAGTTGATGAAGGGTATATTATAATAGAGGATGACTTAACAAGAAGAGAGAGGGAGATTTAACAAAAATGAAGGAAATGGCACGAGAAGAAAGAGAAAAAGGAGACAGCAAAGCAAAAATTGGATACAAGAAGATCAATTTGAAGGGAAAATGGACAGATGGAATGAGAAGAAAGAAGAAAACTCGAAGAGGAAAGGAGAGTGAGAAAGGAATGAGAAAGAAAGAAACATGACGAAGAGGAGGAGGATGGCGAGAGAGGGGTTTAAAAATTTGTTTCTGGAATATCGCAGGATTATCAAATAAATGTGAAGAACATGGGAATATTAGAAGATTTTGACATATAGGATTAACAGAAACGTGGATGGAGGAAGAAAAATGAAAGAAGATCTGCAAGAAAGTGTCGAATAATTATGCATGGAACTGTGTACCGGCAATAAAGGAAAATATAAAGGGAAGAGCTAAAGGTGGAATTATAACAGCAATAAGGAAGGATTTGGAAGGAATCAAGGTAAAGGAAATAAACAAAGGAGCGATGGAGATTAGTTTTATGGTATATATAATAAAAATAGATGGAGAATTGTAACTTTATATAGTCAAGATAATGAGAAAAACATTGGACAATATAATGAAAGAAATAGAAGAGGAAAGGAAGGATATCTGTTAGGAGGAGATTTTAATGCAAGAACAGGGACGGAAGGAGGGCCGATAGGAATAGAAATAGAAACAGAAAGAAAGAAAGAAGAGACAAGAAGATCAAAGGACAAAGTAGTAAATAGAGAAGGAAGAGTAATGTAAATAAAATAAGGGAAAGAGGTTGGATGATTCTGAATGGAAGTTTTGAGAAGGAAGGCGGATGGACATATATCGAAGAGATGGGAACATCAGTGATAGATTATGTGATATCGAATGAAAAGGCAATTGAAGAGGTAAAGAAGGTAAAGGAAGGAAATAGAACAGAGTCGGATCATATACCGGTGGAAGTTGAATTGGAAGATAGAGAAAAAAGAAAGAGAAGAAAAAGTAATGTGGTTCAGATAGAAAGAAGCATATGGTCAGAAGAAGGAGTAGAGTATCATGGAAAATGTAAAGGATGGGTATGCACAAAGGAGGAAAATGGAGAGATATGGAAGGAAATAGAAGAGAAAGTAAAAGATTCGATATGAAAGTGAAGAAAAGAATAATATCATGGAAATTAGGAAAGAAGGAATGGCACAGCAAAGTATGGAAAATAAAAAAGAGGGAACTGAGAAAAGAATTGAGAAAACTAGAAAAAGGTAAGATTGGCAGAGGAGAATACGTAGAAAAAAGGAAGGAATATAGAAAATGGTGCGAAGAGGAAAAGAGAAGGCATGAAGAGGAAGAAGAACAGAAGATAAAATCAATAAGAACAGAGGAAGAAGCGTAGAAATATATAAATAAATTTAGGAAGAAAAGAGAAGGAATAGACGAAAATATGATATGAAAAAATGGAATGCACATTTTATGGAGCTGCTGGGAGGAACAAAAGAAAAGATAATCCTGGAGAAGAGAAGAGAGGAGGAAACGATACAGAGAAGTAACGAAGAAGATGAAGAAATATCGAGGGATGAACTCGTAAGGCAATTAAGGAAATTGAAAAAAGGAAAGCACCAGGAGAGAATGGGATAGAGAACGAAGCGTGGAGATTGATGTCTGAAGAGGTAGGAGAGGCGTTTCTGAGACTAATAAATAGGATATGGAAAGAGGGAGGAATTCCAGAGGAATGGAACAGAAGACTAATCAGCCCAATATATAAGAAAGGAGAGAAAGGAGAGATGAAAAACTACAGGGGAGTAACACTGATGGACACGGCATACAAGATATACGCGAACATATTAAATGAGAAATTAAAGAAGGAAATAGAAAAGAAGCTGGAAGAAGGACAATTTGGATTTAGAAAAGGATGCAGTTCATATACGTATTGAACTATAGTGAATAGAGAATTATCAAAGAAGAAGGGAAAGATATTTGCATTTTCGCGGACCTCAAAGCAGCGTTTGACAAAGTAGATAGGATAAAGTTAGGAGAGATGCTGAAAAGGGCAGGAATAGGAGAAAGATTGAGAAAGAGGATTATGGAAACTTACAAAGAAACGAAGAATACGAGGATGAAAGTAGGAGAAAGAAAATCGGAGGAGTTCTGGACAAGCACAGAAGTTAGACAAGGGTGCTCTATGAGTCCTACTCTCTTTAATATATATATTATGGATCTGGAGGCAGAAATGAGGAAGGAACAGACTGGAGGGATAGTAGTGGGCAAAGAAAAGTTTGGACGATTACGTACGCGGATGATATTGTTCTGGTGGCACAAAGTGAACAGGAATTGAAAGGAATGATAAAAACAATTTAAAAAATATATAGAAAAGAAGGACTTGATCTTGAGTCCAGAAAAATCGAAGGTGTTGGTATTTGAGAGAGGAAGAGGACGAGTAGGGAAAAAGAGATGGAGATGGGGAGAAGAAGCCATAGAAAAGTAAAGGAAATGAGGTATTTAGGATACATTATGCAAAAGAACGGAGGAGCAGAGAAACATATAAGGAAAGAATAAGAAGAGCAACGATAGCGATGAAAATGACGTTGGAGCATCGGAGAAAGATTTATTCAGAGATGATTACACAAGAAGAATGAAGATATATATATTTATAAATTAAACTTCGGCTCGTATACAATTAAAATATGTGATATAATAAAAAAGCAAACTTAACGAGCTTATACAGGGTTTGTCCGGAAAGTAATGCGTCGCATTTTTTTAAAAAAAAGAATTTATTGATCGCATAGGTAAAACAACTTAAAATTGTTCGAAGTATGACCCTTCTGCGTCAATACATTTTTGCCAACGCGATTTCCATGCGTCATAAGATTTCTGGAACTCCTTGACTGGGATGCTGTTCAGGGAGGCCGTCGAAGTAGCTTGTACGTTGTCAACCGACTCGAGCTGTTGTCCTTTGAGCTCCCTTTTCAGCCGAGGAATAAAAAAAAGAAATT